TTTTGAAGACTCGTGACCACACTCATATTTGCTATTGTCATTCGGTTTCATCAATATTTGCTGATAATTCATACTTGGCTAGTATAATATATCGTTTATTCAGAGGTATTGAGGTATTTTTGTTATCTTTCTCATTGACCTTTCCGAAAATTTATTCCCACATACACAATCAAGCGTTAAATGGCACTCCCGAAAATAGACCCTCTAAAGCTTGAATCAATAAAAACTTATATTAAATGTCACAAGAGTTGAGAATCATCTTATGAATGATTTTATCCAACATTTATTGACACTATTTCAATAATACACTTGGGGCTTGCTTGGGAGTTCCAATGCACCGGTTATGAGCGTTTTTTAAAGTACCGATTATGAGCGTTTATGAGTGGACCGGTTATGTGCCTTTTTAGTGGCAATTTTTAAAATAGATCAATCCATGTAATTTATTATTCACCAGTTTTGAAAGTATTTTTAAAAAATAAGATTACATAGATGTCCTTTAGAGAAATTTTCAATTTATAATTTCTTTTATGAAATTTTTTACTTATAAGTGATATTTTACTTTTATGTAATTTTATATATATATGTCAATATTTAATTTAAAAAGTTAAATATTTACTTAAATTTTTATGTTAGTATTTTTTTAGTTACAAATGAACTTTATAATTATAAGTTTAATTTTGTACTTTAAATAATTTTTACTAATAAGAATTTTTTTTACTTATAAGTATTTTATCTTGTTGATAATACTAGTGAGAAGCACGTGCAAGGCACGTGCCATGATGTAGTTGACTACGTAATAGCGTAGGTATTAAAAAAATTCTTTATGTCAAACATTAGTTACATAAAATTTTCGTATAAATTGCTAAATGTTTCGAGGTAGCATTAAATGTGGAGATTAAATAAATCACGCTCACAGTTATCGCGTTTGGCTCGGCTCACGGTTTGTGAACAGTAGAGGCAAAGTGCTTCTTTTATTTATGTGTAGATTTTACACAAAAGTAATTTTTTTATATTATAAGCAATATTTTACTTGTAACTAATTTTTTTTTTAATTATAATGTAATTTTTTTGCATATAAATAATTTTTTTAGTTAATATATTTTTATTTATAAGTTAGTATTAAACAAAATATGTTTAATTGAAAATAATTATTTTATAAAGGGTAAAATTAGAAGAGAAATTGAGAAATAGCCAAAAACTGCCGATTTGATAGTTGAGTGAATCGATCAAAATTACACAACACCGATTTTGGGTGGTTTAAAATTCATCCCAAAAAAAAAAAAAAAAACTAACAAGGACTAGTTCTTTCAATCCCTCTGTTGTGATCCATGATACGAGAACAAGTTCGGACAAGGATCAATTGATTGTTGAAGGATGACTGATAACTAGGTTGCGAGCGAAGCCTATCAAGGATGCTATGGAATTGCTTCCTCAAGTTACGGTAAACGAAACATTGATCACAATAAGTAAATGAACAAGTTTTATGTTGGGTTTGAAAGAAGAAATAAGATGGATCAACTTGGTGCAAGCAACAACGAAGGAGGGGTAAAGCTATAGACCTCATAGCCTACCTATGCATGCGGTCCCATGCATAGATACCGAGCCAAATTGCGAAAAGTTGAAGTAGCCTATGTGACTGCATGAAATTTCACTATGCAGTTGCATAGCACAATTTCTGGGCTCAATTTTTTCAATTTCGCACAATCTTGTATTTTAGTTAAAACTCTAGTTTTATGTTAATTCTTGATATTTAGACTATTAATTCCATTTTCTAATTAGGTTTTATGAGTTCCCTATAAATAAGACTTATTCTATTCATTGTAAAATACACAATTATTTAGAAATTTTTGCAAGGCATTATTGTTTTCTTCTTATTTTTCATCCATTTAATTTTGAACTTATCAAGATTATTTTCTTGTGACGTTCGAACAAATCGAATGAGATTCTTGAGTCATGTAATCACGGGATCAACATATTGTCAGCGATTGTGTTGGTTCCTTGATTCAATATTTTTGAATCAAGCTTAAGTGTTGATTTCTTGACTTTCTTGGGTTGAATCAATTTGTAGTTGTATTACTACGTGAGTTTGCATCACCCTCATAAACAGTGCCATCCAAAATCGATGAAAATAAAACTCCTAAGCAAGCGATTGAATTGTGTATTGATTATTACATATTAATCTACACATGTTTGTTTGCTATTCATCATATTTTGCATTTTAGTATAAGTTAGTCTTTATATAATTTAGTAGTTGATTGATCATAAAGTATAGCTTGAATGTCCATTGAATCGATTTATATTAGTTGAACCAGTTTACTTTTCATTTAACTTATTAGTTTATTAACAACCCCATTTTTGTATGAAAACGTGTATTGGAATAGTGATTTTTTAGAGAATGTGTGGTTAAAATATAAGGAAAGGTTTTTGATTTACATGTAAAATTATTTTAGGAGAGAATGTATGGATGAAAATGAGTTTTGAAAAAAATGAGGGGCTGCTTTCTTTACTGTTTTCATCATGTTTTCTGTTTTCGATTTCTCAAAACAGTGAAAACACATTTACTTACTTATTTTCAAAAACGAGTTTAAAATTTACAAAGAAAATCGAAAAGACAAAAATGTCGTTTTGGGTGTTTTCAAAGTTCCACCACCGCCAACCACCACTAAACCATCGCGACCACCACCGCCAACAAGGACTACACCACCGCGACCCAACTTTTCAAGATAAACACCACTACACCACTGCCAACGAAAATGGAAACCCACCACCACCGTCACCCGCTACAACACCACTACACCATCGCCAACAAAAAATCGCAGCAGAACCACCACTACCAACAAAAAAAAATCCTCAGAAAGATGAAGGACTGCAGCGTCGCACATGGCTGAGCGATCACCGCCAACCACCCGCTCTAAGCGTGGCACTGCACTGCCAATCCGATCACATCCATCATGAACACCAAAAAAGCCGCTGTAAGGGCAACAGAGATGAGAGAGAGAGGGGGTGGTGATCACATCCATCATCAATACCCGCTGTGCTTCGTCTGTGGAGAGTCTCCGAAGTGAGTGGGAACAAAGATGAGAGAGAGAGGGTGGTGATGGTTGTTGGCGACGGGAACGAAGACGAGAGAGAGAGGGGAGGGGTTGGGAAGAGAACGGGTTTTGGATTTTTTTAAATTTTGAAAACAATTTTTCAAAATGACAAAAAGAACACATTTTTAATAATATCAAAATGGACACTCAAAATACAAAACTCAAAATAAATTCAAAACTACAAAATTGAAACACGAAGAGAACAACCCCCGAATTTCTAAAAAATAGGAACCAAATATAAGCAATTTATTTTTAGTTCATTACTTCCTCACATCAAGTTTACATGACTTAAGCAAAATCTAATAATTATGTCATAGCACGTTCACCTGGAACTAGTATTAGGAAAACTATAGATAAATAAATTATAAATGTTTTGAATTGGTGTTTGCACCTCAGCATGGCGAAGCTATTGATTTCATCTATTAATAAATTGTGTGGTTAAAAATTAATTTGAAAAAAAAATAATTTTAAAGAATGAAACTCAAACATGGGTTAAATTTCAAAATGTTACATAAAACCATGGCGAAAGAGTCGCTCTAAATCACCTATGGAGATATTTAGTTGGCTTAAAATTGTCATTAAGGATTATGTGACAGATTCTGATACAAGTTTTAGCAAATTTTGATTAAAGATGATGAAATGTATAGATCAAAAGTTAATAGAAGTTGTAAGTCTCATAAAATATGTGCCTAAAGTTAATTATCGACATCAACGTCAAATTTTCATCAATTTTTTAAATTATTTCAAACACGCGCTGAATTTGTTTTGGTGTGCGAGAGGCTACGTGACGACTCTTTCTATTATTAGGACTTGTGAAAGATCTATCCTCTTTTGATGATGAAGTAATGGTGATGTAAGTCAAAATTGTTGATAATTCTGAGTTGAGTATGCTAAATTTAAAAGGGAAAATAATTTTACGTCTCCTTTATTAATTGTAGGCGTTGGGGACAGATAGGAGTTGGTACACTATGATCTTGGAAAGAAACGTCCAACAATGTTGGCCAAAACTTTTATTTCTAATAAATAGCCTAATTTGGATTGTCTACCATTTCACCACTAGGAATCCTATCTTTATCCCCTAAAACATAGTCACATTCCCATTCTAATCCCGTGTTTCGCTAAGCTTAAAATAAATAATTCTTTTGCACGTCGAAGTAGGGAACAAACAACTTAGCCCCTGCTTGGTACCAGTTAAAATCTAAATTTTAATATAAGTCAAAGCTAACAATAAATTTTAACTACATATTTTATGAGTCTTACAACTTTTCAACCATATATTTCATCATATTCATCAAAATTTTCAAAAATCTAATTTTAATCCCTACCCAACAGAAGCTTAATCTGTTCAGTGAATGAAAAAACACTATTTTAACCACATATCTATATAAAATAACACTATCATAGTTAGGCGAGTTTGAAAATAAAAATTACTTAAAAGTTGTTTTATTATTATTATTATTATTTTTTGCCCAAACATATCCCCAACAAGAAATCCCTTTTGGATAGTTCACCAAACACTGAATTATGTATATAAACAAATTTGGGGCGGCGATTAACACTATGGCATGTGGCTTTGAATTCTAAGCAGTTTCAGAATATAAGACTCTCTTCAAGAAACCACGGGGAGATAAATTGAATGAAGCAACAGTTGCCAACGTACAACTTACAACTTACAACAAAAAATGCTTTTAACTTTTTCTGCTCATTTTGGAGCCCGAAATTTCTAAGGACCACATTCAACACTTCTCATTTCAATTTTGGGGGATCTTGATTCTGTTCAAAGATTTGATATATTAGTTCATATTGAAAAGCCCCCCTCTCCCCTTTGCTTTATCTTTTTTTTTCCCAGAACCCATATCTTGTAATCAATTTATATAGAATATAAATTTGTGGGTTAGAAAGGAAAAGATGATTAGATGGTGGATATCAGCTCTGCAATTGACAGAACTGTTTGTGAGTTCATTGGTGCATTTGGTGTATGGGCTTTACGTATTTAGTACAGCTGTGGCTGCTGATTGGTTTTTGAAGCCTAATTTGGTGAAAATGGTTGATTCAAAAAGGTCAAATAGTGTGGATGATTTGCCTCCGATTGTGTTGGTTCATGGAATCTTTGGTTTTGGTAAAGGAGTATGTATATGATTACATTGCTATGCATTAAAATTTGGAACTTTTTAACATTTCTTGTTGGTTTGGTAGAGTAGACTGTACACGACTAGACACTATTAAGGTAGAACACAAGCGAAAATCTTGTTCATCGTACTGTTTTGTCATGTCCAAAGCTACGTACTCAACATGCCCTTTTTGGGAAGACATTTGCAAGATTGAGTTTTTGTTCATGTTTTTCAGAGATTGGGAAGTTTGTCATATTTCGCGGGTGCAGAGAAGAAAGACGACAACGTTCTTGTGCCTGATTTGGGCTCCTTAACAAGCATATATGACAGGTGAGCGTTTAAGAATAGCCTTTTTTCTCTTGTAACTTTTTTAAGGTTCTTATTTTGATTGTTAACGTTCCTTTGCAACATTTAATGGGATTGGGTTTCAGGGCCAGAGATTTGTTCTATTATTTGAAAGGAGGGCAGGTTGATTATGGAGAAGAACACAGCAAAGCTTGTGGGCACTCCCAATTTGGGAGGACTTATCGAAAAGGTTGGAATTTGAATCTACATTTCTTTTTGATAAATGTTATGTTATGGATTAAATGAAATTCTAAACTCCAACAGATAGTGTACAAAGTAAAAGCCGAAACGTAGACATAGATATGGCCACTTGCCACTGCAAATTTTTCACTATAACCAAGAACAAGTTTTAGAACGGGAGATCTTAGACCTTTCTGTCTTCTCTTGCACATACACAAAAGACGGCTCCTTCATACTCCTTTATACAGCATAGGAATCTAGGGATGAAAGCCCAATATACCCCTATAACTGAAAAAACTCACCATGAGGGACTCTACGGTTGAGGAATAAGTAAAAAATATAATTCGACTCCACTCAGTCCAACGTGTAATTTATTATCCTGCTTTTTTTGACTGTTTAAACGTAAACTGCAGGGAATTACCCTGAATGGGATGAAAATCATCCGATTCACTTTGTCGGGCATTCAGCCGGTGCACAGGTTGTCCGGGTTTTGCAGCAAATGCTCGCTGATAAGGTTCATCTATATATAGTGAATTCATATAAAATGAGACATAAAACTGTTTCAGTATAAGAAAAACTAAAGATTCAATCTAAATTCAGGCATTTAAGGGGTATGAAAATACTTCAGAGAATTGGGTGTTGAGCATAACTTCATTATCTGGAGCATTCAATGGAACAACACGAACCTATTTAGATGGAATGCAGTAAGTTTTGTTGGAACTTAAATTCAACTTTGTTTATATAAGAAATTCAAATTTGTGGCTTTTGGGTCCAATTAATCTTGATGTGACATCAATCAGTTTTCTCTGGTGTCAGGTTTGTCAAGTTGGACTGGATAGCATTTGCTAGTATGAAATATGAAAAGAAGCTAAAGTTTTGTCCATTTTTAGTGTTTGGTCCTGATTTTTCATTGTAACAATGATTTTTTGCAGGCCTGAAGACGGGATGTCCTTGACTCCCATCAGTCTGCTGCAGCTGTGTCGGTTAGGAGTAACAATCTACGACTGGTTCGACATTCCATGGCTGAAGGCCTATTATAATTTCGGATTTGATCACTTCAACATGTCTAGGAAAAAAGTTGGCATTCGGGGTCTTGTCAATGGTCTCTTGAGGAACAATGGTCCATTTGCAACTGGAGATTGGATACTTCCGGATCTTACAATCACAGGTTCTATCAGATTGAACAGTCGTATTCGTACATTTCCTAATACGCATTACTTCAGCTATGCCACCAAGCGTACACGAAAAATCATGGGTATTACTGTTCCCTCTGGCATTTGGGGGATACACTCGTTGCTTTTCATCAGAGTCCTGCAAATGAGCCAATGGCAACATCCACCAGATGTCACTCCACCTTACAAAGGATACAGGTGAATTGTGACCTAAACAGATTGTATCAACTTGGGAAATGAATAGATTTGTATAGGTTATACGTTTTGTTACCACTTTGTGGAAAATAGTTAGGATGAATATGTTAGATACCCATTGCTTGATGGTAAAATAGTATCCATTTTTTGTCTGATAAAGGGATCAAATTGTAAAATTCTTTTGTTGGTGTCCATTTGTCTAAATTGTGGAGTAAATGAGAATTTAGCTTCTAAATTCTAAATGCAGTCTTTCGTTAGTGATCATTTTCACTAATCGACCAAGGGATAGTAATTCGACTCATTAACATCTAGATTATGATTGTCTTTCATTGGCATTCTTAACATTTAACAACAATTAGTGCCCAAAATTAATTTTTGAAACTCGAAATGAAAAGAAGTGATACTGCATAAATGATTGCAGTACTGCATAGATCTTTGCTAAAACCATTCTAAAATGTCTGTTTGAATTTTCACCTTTCAGGTATTATTAGTTTCTCAACTTGTTGTATCTCATACATGTGCAGGGATGAAGATTGGTGGGACAATGACGGAGCCCTCAACACCATATCTATGACACACCCCCGTTTCCCAGTCGAACATCCAAGTCGTTATGTTGTCCAAGATTCCCAGTGCCAACCTTTGCAACCAGGCATCTGGTTTGTTTACCTTATTCCGGCTATTTGTTTGTCACAAATATTGATTTTACTTCTATTTTTGAATTGCAGTTTGAATTGCATGAAATTTGATTATAGTTTGAATCTTTCCAAATACATGAACTAGAAGATTCAATCAAACCCCTTGCTTCTCGCCTTTTTTCTCTTTTATCTACGTACAAGGGTTCAAAAAAGCTTTACCTTACCAATCCCCTTTTTTGAGTGAAACGTTCTTTCATTTTGGAAATTCAAAGCAGATTCATGTTCTCCTCCGTGAGAACATTGAAATCAATATTTACTTAACCAAAATGATGCTCAGTGAATGAGAAATTGGAGTTCAAAGTGTACCCAATTGGAAGAGGGATAGGCTGTAAATGCCATGACAATGGGTAAAGTTATTCTCCATTCATGAGCTTATAATAGAGCTCGATTTTTTTTTTCTATGTTCCACACGAATTCCCTTTCCGACTGCATATAATTTTTACAGTTTTCTATCTAGCCAAAAAAATTTCATGTTTCTTTCATTCTTGGTGAACTTGGTTGCTTACTCTCTTCCATATACGAAATTCCCTTTTCTATTTTCATATAATTTTTACAGTTTTCTGTCTGGCCAAAATTTTTCGAGTTTCTATCAGTTTTGGGGATTGTGTTCTATAAGTTCAATTCACTGGTGTAGAAATTCATTGCTCAGTTTCTACATGTTTCTCCATTGTATCCTAAAAGACAGATACTCAACGAAACCTCGAGCACTCACGTTGAGGGACGAATCTGTTTTAAGGACACTGTGTAATACGTAGGCCTCGATTTTCTAGTTTCTCCCTTCAATGATTCAAATTGATTTATTCCCATTGTAGTACATTTTCATTTTGTTCTTTCTAACTATTGAATATATTTTATGTTATGTATTTTCTACTAACAATATGATCATCAGAGTACCCCACAAGCAATAACCCTCTCGTGTCCATCTTCTTTCAACCAAGAAGATTACACTCTATTGAAGTCTACGTAATCTCCATAGTCGCACTGGCAGATTACCATGGAGTCTCCCACTAGTGCAATTAAGTGGAGCCCACTCTTGGATCTTCTGTACCCCGGTAGATTCATGTTGTGCATCCACGTGGCTCTAAACATTACTTATAGAGACTAGGGTTCGATTTCAAAATGTTAACCTAATATAATGAGGTGTAGTAGTCGAATCTCCTAAGAAATTGAAGGCCAATTGCATGTCTAGCCAATGTGGGACTTGTATTCGCACGTCTCCAATGGATATCAAGTATAAGTATTCCATGTTTTAACCAAATTGTTTGGTTTGATGCAGGTATTACAAGATTGTTGAAGGCGATCACATTCTTTTCATTATAAACCGGGAAAGGGCAGGAGTTCAATTTGACTTGATGTACGACAGCATTTTCGAGCGCTGTAGGAAACATGCCTTTAGAAAGACTCCAATATTACCAAATCAAGTGGACCAATAGTCTGTAATTGTATATGTTTCTTTGCATCTCAATTTGAATTTGAATGTGAACAAATTGTAAATTGAATTTTCAGCAATGCCATATTTGTTCTAAATACATTAATTCAAAGGAATACATATATCATTTTCTAAACATTTGATGAACAATAAATGACGTAGATTTTTTTTAAAAAAAAAAAAAACGAAGCAAATGAGTTTCTCGCCATCAACTTTTACAAATCTCAAGTTTAAAATAGACAAAAATGGCTCAGAACATCATGATTTGCTCTAGAATCCATCTATTCAAACCACCGGGGTGGTTGGTCTCGAATGAGTACGTCAGTTAATACGAGTCGTTGACTCATTCTAGCCATACAAGCATGCCGGGGGACGAAAAATCAATACAAAGATGTGACCTTTTACATAAGCCTGAGCTCATATTCACCTGCCGTTGTAATATATCTCACCCATGGTAGAGCATGATAGCCACTTTTTTCGATGATCTTCAGGTAACGAACCTACAAAAAATGAATTTTCAAGAATTACAATGAAGAAATTATCCAACTACGACGGCCTTTGAGAAACTAGCTCTAGCTGCAGTGAGGTCGAATAAAGCAAACTTATCAGTATAGAGTCTTGCACAAGTTATCGTGATGGCTCATTTTGATGGCTCACCTGTATTCCTGAAACAGTAAAATATGGTATCTCGAACTTCAAACGTACAGGAGCTTTTTTCTCTGGAGCTGATTCCTCAGATACTATGCTGGGGAGACTAAACTCAGCTCTCAACATATATTCCTGAAAAATAAATGAAACAAAAAAAGGTATCAAGATTTTAGAACTTTTCAATTTAAGTATAAATCAACACCAGACAATGAGTGAAACTAGAGTAAGAGTTGAAAGCAACTCTTACCTTACCACCTGGAAAAGATTTTATTTTCCAAATCAATGCATCATTTTCGGGTGCATAAGAAGCAGACCCCATTGAGGTCCGAATATTAGGATTGGTAGCATCCGATGGCACAGGCAACTCAATTTCGACATTAGTTGCGGTACTGAAATTTCAATATTGCGCAAACATTCACAAAATGATAGGCAGTAGCACAGAAAATAAAGACGAGAGTTGAAACATCATGACATACCTGCGCTCCTTGAACTGGCTTCTGGCTTTTACCATAATTTCTATGCGGCTCCTAGAATGTCTTTCAATCTGAGCTTCGACCCATATCAGAGGCTTTACCTGAGAGAGAAAAACACCTCTTGGCCAAGACTCCAACATATTTGCAAAGAAAGCTATTGAGAAAGACCTAAAAAGTTACCCCCCCCCCACCCCCACTCCTTCATATTTCCCAATTTCTTTATCCACTATCTGCAACATATCTAATATAACAGCATGGATGAATTTTTCACACATCACACTTGTGATTTCAAAATTGTTGATGATATCCTTGCCTTTTCAAGATAACATGCTGGTACAAAGGACATATCATCAAACCTCATTCTTCATACAATTGTATAATGAAATATGTGTTCAACCTTGCACATCAAAAAATCAAGATGGACAAAGAAACAGACAAAGGGGCATAAAAAATGCAAGCTCAAAATCCATGACCAAACCTGAGTGCTGAGTCTATAGGTCATGAGATCAAAAGAACCATCAGGAGGTATGAAGGATATTGTCCGGTCATTTTCAAATCGCGCCAAACGCACACACCTAAGCACAAATAAATTGCAGAAAACATAAAGATGGACACCCATAAATAAAAGGCATACTCTAAACAAGCACCTGCAGCAAATACTTCCAACAATCAAGTACAATTGCACATCATAACTAAATATGAGAGTTCATTACATACTGATGAAATTTGATGTCATCTAGATCAATTGCTTTTCCCTTTGTAGATCGCCCTTGCGCCTCCAGTAGCACTCTATCGTTCAGCCCAAGCTTACATTCAGGCATACCACTGGAAGAGTTAATACATTAATGCTTCATAATCACAGAAAATGAGCACCAAATAATAACAAACACCTAAAAACTAGGCAAACTTCAGCCATCTCACAGTGAAAAATACTTCTGACAAAATGATTTTAGTACTAATATAAAAGCATATAGGGTAGCTTAATACAAGTATAAACTAGACAAAGAAAGACCAGGCTCCCAAGCAGGTACAGAACATCCTGCATCGGAGTTATTGAAGACACAAAATTAAGAGAGAAAAAATAACCCTTCTGTCTGAGATTAAACTGAAATTTTTCACATAACATGAATCCAATTATTGTAATTCTTTATTTACAATAGGTAGGTTTCAACAATGACCTCAGCTTACAATGGCCAAAGATAGGGGCAGTTATAGAACCCCCAATCCGGTTCATGTATGCAAGAAGGAAAAAAGGAGGATAGCAATAGCAACATAGTTGCAGCCAGGTCATCCGTTATTCCAGAAGGTTCACTTAGTTTGTTAGAAAGAGGGTCAAAAGTGTAACAGGCTATAGTAAGGGATCGCCTATAAATAGAAGGGCGAAATAACAGGGAAGGGAGGCAAAAACATTGTGAAGAATCTAGTGGAGAAAATTGGGCCTCTCGAATGCCCAAATCCTTTATTTTCATTGGTATTGCATTACATTTACACAACTGTCTGAGCTGCTGCTAATTCCAGTAGCAGAGCTCAATTCTACCTATCAATATATACACAGAAATACAGATTACATTTCAGCCAAGTCTATCTTAACTCTGTTTTCATCTTCAGCTCTGCTCTTGAACGTTACCATAGAGCACTATCGGCAACACTCTGCAGAGGATTAAACCTCACATCCTCACATGCAGATTCCAGCTAATCCCCAGGAGTTAACAGCAACGACCAGCAGGTCCATATAAATTACCTGCAGCAGCAACCAAAGCCTCAGAATACTAGCAGCATCAGCAAGGATCCTATCAAATTGCTGATTCACAGGTCCATCAGACCACCAGCAGCAGGGAGGGGGGGGTACTATCAGGCAGGAAGACTGAAACAGTGTTCACCTTTCCAAGTCTCTGATCCCATGTTTTGGCAGCTTAATTAGATACAAGGAGTGTCACTCCCTGGCCTACTGCTAGCCTGCTTGTGTAACCTAGGTTGCAGAGTCAAGAAAAACTGCTTAGGGTTTACTTTTTCGCACACCGACAACTCCAACATCCCACGTATGACGATTAAGGCCCTGATGCCTTTTGTCAGGTACTACCACATAATTCAGGACTGCCCGGTAAACATTCAAATAAGCACTCCTGATGAACCAGAGGGCCCTCTTGTCACATAGCTGGCCTACTGCAAGACCTACTGTGATAATAGTTTCAGGCTTAAGAAGTAACTACCACCAACGTTGGACAAACTACATATGGTGTATTACATAGGGAATACTGGATTAAAAACTGCTTTAGCAAATGTTGGTATTCTGTTGGCTTAATCAGAAATATCAAAAGATAGCAAAAAAACAACCCCAAAGTTTTCCTCATAGTAGCTAAGTTAACAAGTATCAATCGATCAGCATGCCGTCTGCTAAGGCCATCCCCGCGGGGTTGGTCTCTCTCCATGAACCCATGAGGTAGAAGGTTTTCCATCTTTTGAGGCATATGATTCAAAAGAGTGGAAATTAAACGAAGCAAAGAAAAAGATAGTGATGTTAGTTTGACTTCGTCAATCATAATTAAACAGTACATCAACTTCTGAGACTGTAGCATTAAAATATTTGATTCAGGTAGTGAGACTTCATGATGCCTACAAAGAGATTACTGGTTTTGATTGTGAACTGCTTCTTTTGTTAATTATTTGATGTTAACTTGGAATTAGTTGTTGGAAAGACATCTGTTCTTATAACTTAATGATGATGATGAATAAAGGAAATTCTCGTCTTCTGTGCAAACTGATGATTGATTTACCAGGTCGCCGGTTCAATGATTTAATTCGACGCGCAACCATTCTCATTCACATTCAAGAGTTTCATGAAAAAAAAAAAAAAAATCTGTTATTTATTTGTTATAAGGCAAATCTAGTCTATTGCCATAACAAGTTGAAAAATGGGAATCAAATCCACTTAAGCAAAAAACTTTGGAATGTGGGAAATCATAATACTAAGCTGAACAACCACATACATATCTCTGGGAAAATAAAATGTGAGACCATGTTTCTCTGAGGCACTTAATTCTAATTTAAAACTGAGAGAAAAAGCTTGTAGACTGTTCGATTCCTTTGAGAAACCTAAAAGAAATTGTTTCTTTCCATATAAAAGTATAACATAGTTATTAAGCACCTAGAAGCAAAACCCACGTACAAAATGTAGCAAAAAACTATCAATGTCCATTAATTAGTAGAGATAAAATAAGAAAAGCAGAATCAGAGACTCCGGCCGGATACCTGCAATCCATCCAAATTCTCAAATCAGAATTGAGAGAGGTTTCAAGTCTCTTAAGTTCTCACTCTCATTAAAAAGGGTCTTTTTTCTTGTCTTCTACCACTTTTCTTCGTCTCATCCTAGATCCTAACAAGCACAAACATGGACATTGGAAAAGGATATGCCAACACAAGAGCTTTCAAAAAGTAGGACACCAACACATCGGAGACATGGTGATTTTAGATTCATTTAAATTCTAAATTTGTACATTATAGCTTTACTTTTATAATTTTAATATATGACACAACATGTGGCATGTTGGACACTGCCTTGGAGTGTCCATGGAGTGCTGCAGTCCTGTGATGTTCTGACCCTTCTTTTTGGCTGGCATATCCGTATCGACACAACATGACACGACACGGGTACTAGTATGACATACGGGGTGGACACGGCAAATTTCAACCGGACACGGCCAGGGGCAGAACCTGTTGGACTTCGTTGCCACTATTATTGCAGTCCAAAAAGTCATGTGCTTGCAAGTTTAGGGAAGGAGTGTTGTATTTGGGGGCCTTTTTTCTTTTAATTTTTGGGCCTTTTGGGCTTTTTTAAAAAAAATAAAAATAACATTATCCATTGTGGTTAAAGTATATTTA